GAATCTAAAACAGGTCCGTATCAAGGAGATGGACTCAATATTTTATCCCCCAAAAACATCTAGCTACACCACTAATTCCAGAAAGCAAGCTCCATGCAATTGAACTCGATTAACCCATGATGAAGAAAAATGCCATTCAAAGGAAGTCACATGTTGGGTTTGAGAGTATAAAACACTGACGTGTCGATGATCATTAAAGGTAATAAGAATTATGAACAAAAATGTAAGAAATAAATAGAAAATAAAAGAGACATAAGAAATGGAATAACAAGTAAGATGGAATTTTTTTTCCTGTTTTCTCAAGTTGAGGTTTCATTATGCTCAGAATTGACCAATTGTTTGTTTTTTACTTATTACATACAATTTCTATATTTTTACTTCTCTTATTCTTTTAAAAGCAGTAAAGTCTCTGGATAGATATGATGTTGCACTCAGGGACCGATGTGTTATTCATTTGTTTGCTCTTCTATCAGTTCCATTATTTAAAAAACACAAGTTTCTATCTTTTTTACTCGATGTCCATAAAAAAAAGAATTTCTTTACTTACTTCTTTTTTTGGACGTAAAAGACTCGAGGAATTAAGTAGATTTTTTTGTATTTAATTTCATTCATTTTAATCAAGAACAATCGCTTTGAAGGATTAAAGGCGATTTATTGTCGATACTACTAAAGCTGTTAAGTACAATGATGATGAATATAGCAAGAAGTTGGGAAAGAACTCAACTCGTTAATTTTAATTCTATTTATAATAAAAATTCTTCTTTTATTTTCCTCAATTTTCTTTTCTTAATTCAAAGAGTTTGAGTACTTTTATGTACTTATAATTCACTTTTTTTCTACCTATACATCACAATTCCATACCGCCATATCGCATGATTTGATTATTTATTGTAGCTAAATTATTTTTCGAAGATGCTGTGCAGTTTGGGAGTGAAATGTCAGTTTCTAGTGGGATTTGAACCCACGTGATCTTGCTTAGTATGTTTAGTCATAAGGGCTTTGCTCCTTCACTGACAATTTCATCTAGAAATGGCTCAATATCACACCAAAAAATGCGCCCAAACTAAAATTCATAATTTTTCTGACTTATTAGACTTCTCGTTGCTCTTCATGATAAACCTTTTATGTCGCTTCTTCGCTTTTTTTACCCAACATCAATAAAAGAAACACGAAATTCAATTTTTCTCTCTCTTCTTTACAAAAAAATATTTTTTTTTGCTTGCTTTTCAGCCTGTACGACGCCCGAAGAGGAAATTCTTTTATTTTTTGAAAGAGAGAAAAAATAAAAATTAAATTGTCGTAAATGGATGGAAATTGAATTGTTGTACGTGCATGTGTATTTGTCTCTCGATAAAAATTAGTCATTCAGTCATTTGCCGACTGGTTTTCATCCCTTATTTTTAATAGACATGGAGGAGATGGAAAAAAAATCACTTCGAGAGGAAGATTAATGCATGAAATTTATAATGCAATTTACTCTGTGGATTTATATTTGTGTATGTGTATCTATTTATTTATAGAAAATAAATTGACTAGAATATCAAGTGTCTTGGATACTATTTTTTTGGGATGGAAAGACGTCTTTAAGGATTCAAATTGAGTAGCAATTTGAGATTCAAATTTATTCATCATCTTCATTTTTATTCTTGAAATTTCAGCTTCTTTGGAAGAAATGAAGACACAAATATAGAAGTTTAGGGGATTTGGCGGTCGTTCAACAATGATGTCTGTCAGAAAATAGAATTCTTTATGAACATTTTAGAATGATTTCCATACAATTTAAGAAAAGTCGGTCATCACTAATGAACAACTCCTTAGACATTTTACATGAAAACCGTTCGGATGAGCGCAAATCCTTCAGGCCATAAAAAGATTCTCATTTTTGGATGAAATCCTATTTGATTATGACATATCAAAGGGTATCCAAAGTAAATTAGATTGTTTACTGTATTTATGAATTTTATAAAGTCTCTAAAACCCGCAGGTCTTAAGAGGATTGCAAAAAATAAAAAGAGTCAACTGACAATCCACCTCAGCTTGTAACTTGTGTAAAACATTTTCCACGCCTGAATGAGACGAGCGAAAATCCTTTTAACATTATAACGCTGCTTCGTATCTGCCACACAAATCATTGAGCATTAAGAAATTTTCTACAAAGTATTACAAGTTCATGGATGTTTTTAGCGATGAAGAACAACAGAACACAAAGAAGACGAGAGAATTTATTTGGCGAGGGTCGCAAAAATATTTTTTTTTTGTTTCTTCTTCTTACTTCCAATTTTTTCTAAGCGAGGGATGATTGAGTTTAATGTGGAAGCAGAGAAACAACGAAAGCGAAAACAAAAATTATTTTTGTTTTTTGCTTGTTCTGAATTACGGTAGGTCTATTTCGAAATTACGTCTATTGGCAGAAACCTCGAAGGCCTCGTAAATCACCAGAAAACTAAGAAAAGCTGAGAAAAAAAATTGTAAAATTGTCACAAGAATCAGATGATTGTCTGAGAACCCCCACGATCCCTTCTTGGTAATGTAAATCAGTCTGACAATTTAAAAATTATTGATTTCGTCTAAAACTCATATTTGCATCACTTAATAAGCAAACGACCCCAATTTAAAAATTATTTTTTTTATTTCATATTCTCGAGTTAATTTTAGGTAAGAGTGAATCATAATAACAGATTTGTGAGATTATTTTTTAAAAAGGGAAGCACACTAAGAATAAGACTGCGGTTCCTTCATGAATATTTATAAATCCTGTTTTTGTTTGTTTTTTTGGAATAAAACTTTTGTAATGTAAATTAAGTCATCACCTGAAAATCTTTATATCATCGGAAGTATGCAAAATGTGGAAATGAATTATACACGTACGTACGTGTGAGACTCAGCTGGATGAGTAATATCTTCAATTAAAATGAGATGCTAATTTCGAGATATGAAATTCGTAAAATTCTAATTTTAGAAGTGAAGTTGAATGGCTTTGAAATAATTGGAATTAAATTCTATTGATATTTAAATTCAATAGGAATCTTGAAGTATTTTTAGAGCTTTTGTTGCTTGCAATTACCTTGGTGAATTTATTTCGCATTTCAACCTCCATAATTAAATTTCTACGAAGTTTGTACAGCGCATCATCAATAAAATTACCCAAAAATATAAAAAAATCTTTCTTCCTCAAAAAATCATCATTTTTGTGATGTTTTCCGCATTTTTTCTCGCACTCGTCCAAAAAAACCTCAATGGTCGTACCATTTAATGAGTATAATACATCATCGTCATCTACATCGTTGCTTCGTTACTCAAATAGCAATTTCAAGATTGAGTTAAAAAATTAATCACATTTAATTCCTTTTTAATCACATTCTATTAGCATTGAATTTACATTAAGACAATTTTTTTAATAATAAAATCTTCGTGGAATTTTTTGTTCGTCAAGATTAAAAAAAATTAAATTAGAATTTTTTTATGTGCTTATATGAACGAGAATTAGCAGCAAAATTTGCTCTTTTGTTTCAGAAAAATTTCCTCTTTAAAAGTTTTATGTATTAAAAAATAATCTGGTTAAATTATTAACCCTATTAAATTTTAAAGCATTTAATTTAGCTGAGATTAATCTCGTCAAATTCAATTTTTAAGATCAAAAACCTTTGATTATTTGATATTCATGCAGCATCGCTTTGGCCTCAAAAATTTGAGATAAATAAAAACTTTAATGAAGATTCTCTTTTGCAGCCATAAAATATGATAAAAATTGACCAAATTATAAAAGCTTCATAAAAATGTCTGTGAGAATTATTCAATGGGTGCAGCAGACATAAGAGGCATGGAAACGAAATTCTTGCATGTCTTTCTTTTTAAAGTGAAATAAAAAGTTGAATTTTTTCGAAAGAAATTTGTTTAAATTTTATAAATGAGTAAAGTTTAATTTAATTTTTTATGGGGAATCATTAAGGCTGATGAGAAGTGCTGGAAGACGAAAAAGCCTCTTCGATTGACTTTGATTTAGGTTTGAAATTTTTTAAGAATTTATTTGAAAATGTTGAAAAATGAATTTTCGAATTTTGATTTTTAATTTATTTTAAAAAATTTCAAAATTGCCAGGAAATTAAATTTGAAGAGATTTTTTTAAAACAATTCTATTTTTATATCCAAAAACTTTTTAAACTTAAATTTTTAAAACATTAGACCTAAAGCTCCCACGAAGATTGATCAAACTCATTTCCAAGAATTAATAATTAAACTTTAAAAATAATTTTCAAGTCAAAAATCTTCGAAAATTAAAGAATAAAGTTTTTACGAAAGAATTCCTTTGACGATGCTTACATTTTTCGAGAAATTCATTTGACTTTATTAATTTTTGCTTCCAAGATTTTCAGAAGTTCATTCAAAGTCTCTCAAACCTTTAACTTGCTTGTTACCTTAATGCTTTTTTTTCCATCAAAGGACTGCAGTTGCTCGCAGCTCATAAATTCATCAAAATTCATGAATAAAAAATCCAAGGTTAATTGAATTTCATAAAAATGATTTTAAAGATTTCTCTGAGAAATTTGCAGCAAGCATCACCGAAAATGTAAAAGAATTTCTAATAATTTGATTCCATCTACCTTCAAAGAATGGGAAATTTATTCGCCAAAAGGCTTTTTTTATCGTTACAAAAATTCATAGAAAAGAAGCTCAGCCCACGACAAAGTAAATAAATAAGAAAATTTGTTTTCGAAAATTCATTTTTGAAGGATTTTCATGAATTTTTCATGATAGAAAAAAAAATATTCAAAACCCACATTTTTATCACTATTGAATATTACATGAGGATTATCCATTTATCAGGCGCTACTTTTATACTAAAAATCGACTTTTTATCGCTCAATTAAATTAATTTTTAATCCACTGACAATTTCTCGATTTAAAAACTTGCTCGTTTCATCTTTTCTTGAAGTATTCTTTTGTGCTTTTCTTTCATATAAAGCATAAAATAGAAGATAAACTTTTTTAGATTTACTCACCTTCACTTCACAAACGAGAGACACAAAAAAAATATTTTTTGCTTTAATTCTTTTTTCTTCAAGCAGAAAAAGTTCACAAAATCTTTTTTATCAAGTTCGGGAAAATTTCTTTAATTTTCACACAGTTTAAATCCTTTTTGTCACTTCCTCTATTTTCTTTTTTTGTCACCAAAAAAATAATTTTTTATTTCATTAGTCAAGAATGAAATAAAGATATAATCCTTATAAATGTGCAAGCTATTTCTTGATACACAATTAGTCCATATTATTAATCCATTCAAAATATTTTATTTTCACTTCACAGGATGTCATCTAATCCTCTGTTCATTCGAATCCTCTTTTCTTTCACTTCCGAGAAATTTTTATTTTTCTCAATTATCAAAAAAAAAGTTTTTTCCTTTTTTTTGTTGAAAAAAACACAAAAAAAAATCAAATATTTTGTTATAAATTTTTTTAAGAACAATTCGTATCAGAAAAAGAAATTTTCCGTGATTATTTTGGATCGGCCTAACAACTATATAATGTGCGAGAGACTCGGAAATTTTTGATCTCTGCACCGTATTTATATAGCCCAAACGGTTTGTGTTGCTTCAATGTTTTTCATTCTCAGTTAGCAATGAATGCTGAATGTTGAGATACAATTGCAGCAATGTCGATTGAATGTGCGGGAGATGAGACTCAATTTTTTAAATTTGTTGAAATTTGTGTGATTTTCTGGATTTTCTTTTGATTAAAATTTTTTTGTCAATTTTTCTTAATGTTTCTGAATTGTTCCTGATTTTTAATTGAAAATGACTGCAAAATTTTAAAATTTCAATTCCAATGTTTTCACATTTCTTTTTACAAACAATTCAAAAATATTTGAGAAATTCAATGATTTTTTTTTTCATGTCTAGCATGTAATTTATTTTTGTATGTGGACCTGTCCAGCTTTAAGATTTTTTTTTTCTAGAAAATATTCTCTTATTTACATTGAGAGATTTTATTTTTTGAGAATTATTCATGGCACTTGCCACTGTAAGAATGTTACATAAAAAATTATCGCTTAGTGTAAAATTGATCTATAGAAATTACTGGAACTTACAAAATTTTGTAAAAAGAGATATTGCATCATTTTCATCATATGATACATAATCTAAGTTTTAAGATTTACTTCAAGAAATCAAGGTGCTTTTTAATCGCTATTTTTTTCAAGAGTCAGAATTGATGTACTATTGAAGTTTTGTTAAGTAATATTCAGTGGTTCTCAAACTGTGTGATAAGATGACACTAAGGACTGGACTTATCTAAAATCAGTATGTTTTTTGTCAGGTACCGTAAGTGACAGCTTAGTGCTCAAATTTGTTTCCAATGTTTTTGCCACCAAAAATCCAGATCATTTGCAAAAAAATAATTAATTGAGAATATTGCAATATTTTAGGTCATTTTAGAAATTATGGATGATAAAACAAGCAACTTTAAAGTCATTCCACTGCCAATAAACTATATAAACAGCATATTGCTTTACATTCTCCACCTTCTTCCAATAGATTAGAATCAGAATGTTTTTCTGCATATTTACAAGCAAGCAAATCTTCACGAGGGTACTGAACTTGGTCAATAAGATGCATCAAATCTAATAGAAACTTCCGATCCAAAAATGTCATGCAAACTATCAAAATTTGACAACGCAAAAATTTTTTAAAGAGAAATTCATCAAAATTTTCGCAAAAACTGCACATGTGTACAAAAAAATATAAGGCATAATGCATCCATTAATTCTCATTGATTCCCATAAATATTCTCCAACTTTCCCTTGAACTTCACGAAAAAAAAATAAAAAGAATTCTTTCAACAAACATTCGAAAAAAGAAAAAAATCTTCATAATCTCATCAACATCACTTAAAACGAACAGAAAATGCAATAGCAAGAAGCAAAAAAAATGTAAAGAGAAAAAAGCCGGTATTGAAGCTATGATCATATGATGATGATGATGGTGGGGCGAAGCGAGCATAGAGCGAAAATGAGGGGAATTAAAAGTAAGAAAACATTCAGATTGCTGGACATAGAAACAACATTGAGGCATGAAAACATTGGAGAATCAGCAACAGCAAATAGAAGCATTTCTTTATTTCTCTTGAGATGATTCTTAGAGATGTTTGACTTTTTATTTAACTTCTTTATGTTCTTTGTTTTTTAAGGTATATAGCATGTTATAATAAAAAAAAAAATTGAATAAGAATCATACCATACCTTAAGATGCGAGTTTCGCATTGAGATGAGGTGAAATATAAAATGTAATAATAAGAAGCAGCAGTAGGTTCTCATATATTATATTGAAATAGAAAATTCAATGCAGCATTCTTATTACACACGCGGATAATTTTTTGTTTTGTTTTATTTTATTTTTTTTTTAAACAAAAACGCAAAAATTATTGAAGTTTCAATACAAACTGATCAACTGTCTCGCATGGAACATACAAGAATATAGAATAGAAATTCCACATAGACATTTTGATGACTCCCTTTCTGTAGCTTTTATAACAATAATAATGGCAAGATCAGTACAAGTACTATACTTTCTGCCTCTCTTCACTGCTGTTTTGCATAGATAATGCAAATGCGATACTATGGGACTTGTCGACTCGAAGGCACAAATAAGTTGAAATTGAAAGCAAAATGCAACAGAAGTGAAATAAGTAAGGATGTTTGTTTAGGTTGGTAGATTAAGTGCACTTGATGGGAGGTTGTGTCTTTCAAAGATGCGGAATATTTGCTCTTAAGATGCAGTCATTTTGCTTTAAAGATGCAAACATTTTGCTACAAAGATGCAGAATAAATCCAGCATTGATCTAAAGATGCAGACATGCAAAATTGTTTACATCAATCATTCTTGTTCCAATTAAATTTTAGCACATAGCATGGAAATACCGAATTAAAGTCATTCCAAACTATGTCAATTGTACGATTAATTTAAATAATCTTAAACCCCATGTGAATAAAATTCTCCATAACTTCAATGCATCAATATCATTTTAATTATTTCCAACAGTCAAACTTAAACAACTCATATTAAATTCTTCACAATGATTCACCATCCAAATGCCCCAACAGCAACGTCAATGCACAGATTTAAGTCCAAACTGAATGAGATCACCCATCGATTTAATAAATCAATGCTACAAAAAAATGCAAAAGAAGGTACAATTTTAAAATCACAAGTTATAAGAATGGAAATTGTGTGCAATTTGTAGTTTGCATACATTCAGTCCGTCCGATGCCAACACATCCCTCATTAATTTGTTAATTTCATCTTTTTCCTTTCCTTCCGTTGCAAATGGATCGGCCGATTGGATTGAAATTGAATTGAATATAAGGTACAGAATGGAGTGAGTGAGTGAGAAAGGAAGAAATGAGTAAGAATAATAAAGAATAAGAACAGAACATGTTCCAGGTAATGACAGTAGACGAACTTCCCCGCAAGTACAAAATCATAATTAAATTTCCTGCAATGATCCAATGTGTAACTTAATAGCATCGTCTCGGTGCCATTTTTTTTTATTTTTGCTTGGTCTCTTGCTCCTTTTATTGTAGTCCCCTCATAAAATGCCATATACACTATTCTAGATTGGTTTATATTGTCGTACATAGATTTACAATCTTTGCTTCTTTTATGTTACACAAGTCCGTCATCATTGAGCCTGACTATTTTACATTTTATACGACTCTTCATGTTGTTCATCTTCTCGGATACTCTGCTTTTTTATCGTTATCTCTTGAGCGCAAAAGTCTATATAGAAGAATTTTCTTGTGTATGTATTTTATGTGCAAAGTTTGTGAAAGAATAAGGCTGGTCAGTTTGACTTTTGACAATGCAGCTCTACATTATTGAGCATCATATAAAATTTTAGATGGGATTTTTAGAGAATATAAAACTTAATGTTTAAATTCCAAAGCTTTTTCTGTATTATGGAGTTTTGTGGAATTTTCTATAAGCTATGTTCTGTAAGTTTGCATCGCATTCAAAGCTTTGTAACATTTTAATTCTCTTATTAGAGCAAAGATCTTCATATCGACGTATGGAATCGAGATCGACCATCTTTCTAATTTGTTTAAGTACGTGCGATCGATTCCCAACAGAATCTTTCTTAAACAACGCACTGAACCCACTCACACTGCTCAGCTTTTCGAACTTAATTTTATGTTGCTTTAGTTTATGCTATCTGCGCTTTTTGTAAAAGGTGAATGAAATCTCATTCTTTTCTTTCCTTCTTTTTTTTCTCCTCTCTGTTGCTTTTATTTTTTTTTTGCTGTTCTTACCTACTCTTGTACTGACTAAATATGATTCTTCTTTACGACTGTTGATCTATAACTGAAAGATGTGCAGAACATAAAAGAAGAAGAATACGTACACAGGAATGAAAAAGTTCTGAGAATTGTTTATGTTAAAGCAAAGTTCTTCATTTTATAAGAACAAATTTCTAGAATTTATACTAATTTTTTTGATTACGAGCAGGAAGTTTTTTTGTTAATTAATGTGAACTTCTTACCCTTTCATGTGAACTTTATGTTATGCTCCTCGGGCGAATCAGAACTGTTCTTTTTTGAGTTAATTAAAAGTGAAATAATTTTGTCAAATGTAGTTTTTAATTATGCGACAACTTGCACTATCAAATGATGAGAAATATTCCTGTTATGCATAGCTTGTGTACACAAAACACAGCGAATGACTTTTGCGTTTGCAAAATTGTTTGTTACGAAATTCGACAGAGATTTTATTAAACATGAGGGAAAAAAAAGTTATATGTTTAAAATTTTTATTAGAGTTGTGACTTGTGCACCTGAGCTTGAACTTTCATTTATTTTTTATTAGAAAAATACTTTTTTTTTATAGAATATTGCTTTAATTTGGGTTAAGGGATCGGTTTCAAAAAAAGTATGAAGAAGCTTTAGGTGTATTTTATGGCTTGAAATAGGATATTTTAATGAAAATACCAACGTCGGCATTTTTTGATCCTTCCAGATTAAAGTTGAAGGATTAAAATTTTGCAATTATCTTGAAATGATTTATTAAGACGACTTTAAGAGTACTGAAGCATTTTGTAAATGTTGCTGCCTCTAATAAACCTTAAAATTTTAATTTGAGAATCAAAATTACTGAAGTATCCGGTATACATCGTATGTAAATGTCATCCAGAGTCCCTGACTTGGTATTTGATTATATTCAGTAATATGTTCTTAAATATTACAAAATCCGAGCCACAAACAACCAAAAATAGCTAAAACATTCTCACAAAGTTTCCTAATTTGGATTGTACTTGGAAATGACTCCACAAATCTAAAGTTTACTTTAAGATTAACAAAGAGTCCATAAATCTGCATTACTCGGGCCCAAAAAAGGTTCAATCTCCTACAACATACATAAAGTCATTGCGTGTGTTCTTCCGTTTCAAATAAAATCTCAAATAAAAACTCTGTGTGAGAATCTTTGAAATTAAACGAAAAAAAAAGAACTTTTTCATTAAACTTTCATATCTGATTTATTGGATT